TCTGAGACTACGATCAACTTCGGAATGGAAAAATATTCACTATGTTCATGGTTCTTTTTCAGGACGGAACATGACAACGCCATGGCCAACATGGCCTCCAACGACTCCATCATGGAATTGTGAGTCCTGGGAATTCCGCTGCAGAAATGGTCAATGTATTGATCAATCCTATTTTTGTGATGGTCGATATCATTGTTCTGATAGTAGTGACGAAGATTTGTGTAATTCTGCAGGTTAGATTTCAACTTCTCTGAGGTTTTGTCGGTACTGCGGTCTTGCTGTGATGTGTGTCATTAGCGAGCTTAAGACCTACGACGCGACCGGCTCAACGACGCGCTTGCGAAAGAAAGAGATTTGTTATGCAAGACAAAAACTGTCAATAATTCGTGGTCCCAGGGGTATTTTCAAAGGTTTTGTCATGCTCAACAAACGTTAAACTAAGCATTATCACGTCTTTCATGCAACGTGAACGCTTATTACGACCCAAGAGGTGTCACTTAAAGTCGAAATTACAGCAAACATTGCATCGCTTTAGTCGAACTTAGCAGTTTTTAAGGTTATTTGAAAAAATCTTCAAACATTTATTACAGTAATGTAATTGCTTAGGGCTCATTCTTGAACTGAAATTAAGACCGCGTCGTTGAGCTGGTGCGTCGTAGATCTTAAGCTCTCTATTTTCTGCGTACGCCGCTGTCTAAATAATTAATGAATTAATTCATTCGCTCATGGCTATCATCCATTCTAAGGTTGTTTTTATGAATGTTTCATTTTAGGCGTACGACTTGTGGGCGGTTCTCACAATGCAGGACGGGTGGAAGTTTATTATAACGATACATGGGGAACAGTTTGTGATGATAGGTGGGATATAAACGATGCTCGTGTTGTCTGCAAGCAGCTTGGTTTTCCAGATGCTTTGGCTGCTTATAATCGTGCGTATTTTGGCCAAGGCACTGGACCGATTTGGATGGACGAGGTTGGATGTAGAGGCAATAAACCATCGCTATTTTCATGTAGCCATAATGGATGGGGACGTCATGATTGTCGTCACAGTGAAGATGCTGGTGTTCGCTGTGGAAACACTGGTAATGACAAAGAACGTTAAAGCTCTGAGACTACGATCAACTTCGGAATGGAAAAATATTCACTATGTTCATGGTTCTTTTTCAGGACGGAACATGACAACGCCATGGCCAACATGGCCTCCAACGACTCCATCATGGAATTGTGAGTCCTGGGAATTCCGCTGCAGAAATGGTCAATGTATTGATCAATCCTATTTTTGTGATGGTCGATATCATTGTTCTGATAGTAGTGACGAAGATTTGTGTAATTCTGCAGGTTAGATTTCAACTTCTCTGAGGTTTTGTCGGTACTGCGGTCTTGCTGTGATGTGTGTCATTAGCGAGCTTAAGACCTACGACGCGGCCGGCTCAACGACGCGCTTGCGAAAGAAAGAAATTTGTTATGCAAGACAAAAACTGTCAATAATTCGTGGTCCCAGGGGTATTTTCAAAGGCTTTGTCATGCTCAACAAAACGTTAAACTAAGCATTATCACGTCTTTCATGCAACGTGAACGCTTATTGCGACCCAAGAGGTGTCACTTAAAGTCGAAATTACAGCAAACATTGCATGGCTTTAGTAGGGTTGGGCGATATTAAAAAAAATCAACTCACGATTATTGTCGAGGAAATTATCACGATATTCGATAATATCGCGATAAATGCAATAAAAACAATGACCACATTTTTCAATTCTAATTAATATCAAAGCATAGTAAGCTTATATACAATCTTATTAAAAACAAGTAAAACAACAAATTAGAGTAATATGAAGGCTTTTCTAGTCTAATATTTACTGTTCATAAACCTGAACTGTCTATGCCGTGCCTATAACAGTGTCTCCGCAGACGCAAATGCCATGGGTACACAGCGCAAGCAAAGCCTGCAATTTCATTGTTCAGCAGCTTACTAACTTACCAAGGCTTTCCAAGGCTTATACTAACTTACCAATGTTTACTAGATTACCAAGGATTACTTGTTTACCAAGGATTACTAGATTACCACTGATAAGTAGGGATTATTAGGATGTATAAAAGTTAGAATGGTATATTGGTGACCGTAACACCAGGAATTAACCAATATATCGTATTAAATTCGTATTTGATTCAGGAAATAGTTTTAATTCTTTTAAAAACTACATTTTCTAGAAATTGAAGGAATTTTTTTAGGATTTTTATAAAAGCTATATACACATGCGAAGCAATATCACGATAGTCCACGACCATGACGATAATTTCGATATATCGTCGCTCAAGTTTCTACCTTCGATACGATAATCGTGATTGGAAATATCGCGATAAATCAAAAAATCGAAATATCGCCCAACCCTACGCGTTAGTCGAACTTAGCAGTGTTTAAGGTTATTTGAAAAATCTTCAAACTTTTATTACAGTAATGTAATTGCTTTGGGCTCCTTCTTGAACTGAAATTCAGACCGCGTCGTTGAGCTGGCGCGTCGTAGATCTTAAGCTCTCTATTTTCTGCGTGCGCCGCTGTCTGAAGAAAACCAAATTAATTCATTCGCTCATGGCTATCATCCATTCTAAGGTTGTTTTTATGAATGTTTAATCTTAGGCGTACGACTCGCCGGCGGTTCTCACAATGCAGGACGAGTGGAAGT